ATTTATGTCACCCATGTTGTGTGAAAGGACCCCTGGTGGTGTCAGTGGGTCACGCATTTGGGCTGCTAACCACAGTCAGCTGTTTGAAACCACCAGATGTTCCCAGGGAGAGAAATTAGATTTCCTACTCCATTGGAAAAATAATTTTCTATAAATAAATAAGGGGTCACGAGGAAGGGAGAAAGGGCAGGGCAAAAAAGAGGAGCTGATACCAAGGGCTCAAATAGAAAGTAAATGCGTAGAAAATAATGATGGCAACATATGTACAAACATGCTTGATACAATTGATGTATGGATTGTTATAAGAGGTGTAAGAGCCCCAAATAACATGATCTTAAAAAAAAAAATTAACATCCTCGGAAGCCTACTAGGGCAATTCTACCCTGTCCCATCAGTCCCTGTGAGTCAGAATTGACCGGATGGCTGTGAGTCAGTGAGTGTGACGTCTGACACTCATCTGTGAGTTGCCCATTCTGTATCATCTTTCCAGAGCCTGCTTGAGCCTGCCGCCATCCGCCCATGACCCTACCCGACTTACACGATTCACACCTTACCCCGGGCCTCCGGAGCAGAGCAGGGCAGTGGTTGTCAGTGGTGGTGGTAGGTGGGTGGTTTGCTGGCCACCACTTTACACACAAAGAAAACAAGGCTGGGAGAGGCTGGGCGGAAAGGCTAGAGACAGTGGTAAATAATGGCCCAAACCAAACCCAACTTAAAGCACCGCCAACCGTCGGTTCTGATTCGTGGCAAGCCTTTCGCAAAGGGTAGGACGGGCCCTGTGGCCTTCCCACACGGTAACACTTTACAGGAGTAGAAAGGCCCATCTTTCCCCCCGTGGAGCAGCTGGTAGTTTTGAACTGCTGACCTTGCGGCGAGCAGCTCAATGCATAACCGCTACACCACCAGGGCTCCTGCATAACTAATGAAGCGAGGATTAAATCCAACCGTGTGACAACAGAGTCCAGCTCTTACATCGATGGCTCTCGAGTTGCACCTGTGGATGAACGGGTAGCTTTTCTCGGCGATTCACTGCCCTTGGCGCATGGACCAGCATCTGGCTGTCATCTGGCACAGACTCCTGCCCTTACTCGCCTGGTTCTCAATGGTTGGCCTATTTCTAAGTTTGTCTGGCTTTTCCCAAGCAACCCTTTCTTACTCTTCTCCAAACGCCATTGGCTTCACCCTTCCAGCTTCTGCCCTTGCTAATAGGAGTCCGGTTTTGTTTAGGTTTTCTCTAAAATAAACTCAAAGAAAGGACTATGCATTAGTAACTAAGAGTTTGGTGCTTACTGTGTGTCCGTTTTGTTTCTTGGAGATCTGTGTTGCCTGAGTGATAAACAGAACAGAGATGCCTCCTCCAATCTGCCCAACAAACCAGTGAAGCCAAGACTGTCATGGAACCCATTACAGAGATGAGGCAGCCACGAGCCAAGCCAGGTGTCCAACCCAGACAATTTGATGGCAGGGGTCACTTGTTTTGTCCCAGTTAAGCTGCCAGCAAAGATTCGGGGGACACATAATTTTGCTATCTGGGGGCGCCCTGGCCTTCTCCTAGATCATAAGCCAGAGCTCCCCATCCTACTGCACCGGAAGCCCAGAGGTGCTCTTGTGGCTCAGACATAGGCAGCTGAAGCCAGACTCTGCCGTGTTCTCAGCTCCGGTGTCATTTGTTGAGGTTTCAGATAAGTAACCACCAAGAAAGCCTGATGCAACCGCAAGTCGGAGCGTTGCGAAATCGTGGACTTGGCCGTAGTCTGCTCTCAAGGGAAATTTGGAAATTTCTCCAGTATCAAAGAGCAGTGCCCTGGGAGTGGGAACCCTGCCACCTGCCTGGCCTGGGCTCAGCACTCATGCAGCCGGCCTGCTTTGAACGCCTCCAAAAGAATGAGTGTTTGTAGGACAAGTTTGTGATGATGTGCCCCACCCCCGCGCCTCGGCACCCAGACCCAGAGAAAGACAGATTAATGTGTTTTGCTCACAAGTGAACCTGTGGCTTAAACCTTTTAGACACTGTCATTTCAGCGAAGAGCTATGACTCAGATAAGACTCGCGTTGTGCGAGTGAGGGTGCGTGGTGCGTGGCCCGGCTGTGGTGGGAAGGCAGGGAAAGGGGGTTCTGCTTAAGGAGCCTGCTCTGGATTTAAATCAGGTTTGCGTTGGCTTTCATTTGAGGGCAGATGTTAAGAGAATCCGAATTCTCCCCCATGCTTTCGGTCACCATCAACCATCCATGTGTCCCTCGACCAGCCACGTTGGAGGGGAAAAGAGAGTTTCGGGCCAGATGATCATAAATGTTCAGGCTCCCAACCGAATGAACTTTTAGACAGAAGGACTGATCTCCAGCCTATCTTTTGCCTGATTTGCACATACACACGCTAAAAAAAAAATTTAAAAAAATACCCTCTGATTTTTTTTTTCCTTCTGCAATATACTTGGTGATTAGAACTCCGCCCACCTTCAGCAGAAGCGGTGCATTTCCTACTTTCCTGCTGTCTATGTTTGGTTTGCACAGCTGAGATGGCCCAAGTGGCTGACACACCCGTCACCCTGCAAGAAGCTCTCCCCGGTAAGTCACCTGAGAGCCGCTTGGCCTATTAGCGCAGCTTGACTTCTCTGGTGAGCTGTCGAAAACATCTGACAGACCAGGTGCTCAGAGATCTGAAAGTGTTATCTTTAGAATACAGGATGGGTCAGAATGTGGGATGAGTTTGGGTCTGTGATAACATCAGAGATACAGGGCATGATCTTGGGTGTAAGGTTTCAAAGGGAGTGAGATTTTTTTAAAAAATCTTCACTTCTCAGAAGGAAGATTTTTCAGAGAGACGGGTCTCGGCTGCAAGCTTGGGGGTGAGTGTCTCCTGCTAAAAAGAGCTAGCACCCCCATCCCCAGACACGCACACGCACACGCACACTCACTCACCTGATGAGATGCCGTATAAAGGTTTGCACAACCCCAAGTTGCGTCTTAAGTCTGCTCTTTCCTTTCTTGTCCTAGAGGGGTGTGTGATGGGGTGGGGTGGGGGCAGCCTGAGAGTTGCCCAAGTGACTATCAAATTGTCCAAACCAAACTCCTTTCACGGGGATCAAGTTCCTCAGCCCATGCCTGTGTGCCTTCTGTTCCTGTCTTCCTTCTTCCTGGCTCCGGGTTGGGAGGTGGCGTGTTTTCTGGGTGCTTCTCTCCGAGGCCTTGGTGAAGGCAGCGCCCGTGGGAGTCTGAGACTCACAGGCACTGATTAGAGATTGTGCTGGGCTTGAGAAGTGAAACTTAGACTGGCCCAGCTGGATGGATAGGAAGGGAAGAGACTGGCCCAGCGTGCGTGCCCCAAGGCTCGTCTGCGGTGGCACAAGAGCTTGCCTTCCGCTTCACTCTCCGGGCTCTTGGTAGGGACAGCTCAGGAAAGGCACCCAGAGAGCCCGAGATAGGGATAGGAGGGCAAGTCTGGGATTTACAGATAGACTGCTGGCCGTGTGGCTTTCTCAGGGGACTTGAGGATCAGCCTGTTTCATTCCGACTACAGGGAGGCACTACGTTGGAGGGGGCAGGGGGGTGGCTGCTCTTTGCTTCCTTTCCCCGGAGGGAAAGGCACTTTGGTGTGGTGGGGTGGACAGGGGTGGGGTTGGGGAAACACAGACTGCCTGCCTTCAACTCAGACCGCTGACTCAGCTGGGTGCCTCCCTGCACTTGAGGTGGGGGTCCCTGCCTATTAAGGGGGCGCGATTACATCACCTGGCCCCTGGGATAAGGAACTCTGGTGGCTTAGTGGTTACCCGCTGGGCTGCTAACCTTTGAAACCACAGGCCACTTCATTGAAGAAAGACAGGCCTTTCTACTCCTGTAAAGAGTTAGAGTCCCAGAAACTACCCTGGGCCTATAGGGTTGCTACGAATCGGCACCCACCCGGTGGCAGGGAGCTTGGTTTTGTGATTTGTCCCCTGGGGTGGTCTTGAGGGTTCGGTGGATGAACCCAAGTGCTGCCCAGCACGGTGCCTGCGGACCCCGAGGGCACGCTCACAGCAGGTCAGCCTGCCGGGCCCTCCGCACACCGCAGTGCTGGGCTGGCCTCGGGAGTCCGTCTCTTGAAATTTTCATCAGCACTTCACCCGCACGGCTATAGACAACCAGCAGACTGGAAAGAGCGAGAGGATGCTTTCCCCAACACCCCGAGGGCTCCACCCAGGGAGCAGCGCAGAAAAGCCAGCGGCACACCTGCTCCCTCCACACTGCCTGGCCGCCCAGCTCGGGCCAACCAGGGAAGTCGGGCTGGATTGCAGCAACTCGAAACAGTATAGAAGGCACCGTTTGTCTTCCCAGCGGGCCGCAGAGCGCTACCCAGCCTGTTGTCATCGGGTCCCCTGATTCACAGTGACCCCAGGGGTCACAGGGTAGAGATGCCACACACACACACACACCCCACCCACCGAGAGTTTTCTTGGCCATCATTTTTGGAAAGGCGGGTCACCGGGCCTTTCTTCTGTGGCACTGCTGATGGGTGCAAACGTGTCGGTTGGCAGACAAGTGCAAGCGGTTTGCGCGGCCACCCCAGGGATCTGAAGGCGTGCCTTCTGTCGATGCTGTGCTGAGCTGCCGTCGGTCAACTCTGGCTCCCGGGGGCCTCGTGCATCGTGGGTAGAGGTGTTCCGGAGGGTTTTCAAGGCCATCGCTCTCGGAAGCAGGTTGCCCCTCTCGACTCCCAAGGCCCATCTGTGGGTAGGTTTGAGGCAGTGCCTTTCAGCAAGTCATCAAGTGCTTAGCTGACCCCACCATCCAGCCCGCCCCCGTACACTCTAAAGACTCCCCCAGCCAAACTCCCTGCCATTGAGTCAATGCCAACTCATAGCGCCCCCACAGGACAGGGGAGAACTGCACCTGTGGGTTCCCAGACTACAGTGCGTTAGCAAGCAGTCCGACGTACAACCACTCCGCCAGTGGGGGCTGCTTAGACCGTACATTGTAGGGCCTTCTGAGAAACGACTTTCTCTGTGTTCACAGGACTGCGCAACATGGACAATGGAACAGCGATCCCCGAGTACGAAGAGGGCGACTATGGGGATTACAGTATGTCGGAGCCCTGTCATAACATCGAAGTGAGACAAATGGCGGCCCAGCTCCTGCCCCCGCTCTACTCGCTGGTGTTCATCTCTGGGTTCGTGGGCAACATGCTGGTGGTCCTGACCCTGATCAACTGCAAAAAGCTCAAGAGCATGACTGACATCTTCCTGCTCAACCTGGCTGTCTCCGACCTGCTCTTCCTGCTCACCCTGCCCTTCTGGGCCCACTACACCGCAAGTGAGTGGAACTTGGGAAATAACATCTGTAAGTTCTTGACAGCCCTCTACTTTATGGGCTTCTTCTCCGGGGTCTTCTTCATCGTCCTCCTGACAATGGACAGGTACCTGGCCATCGTCCATGCCGTGTTTGCTTTAAAAGCCAGGAAGGTCACCTTTGGGGTGGCGACCAGCGGGGTCACCTGGGTGGTGGCTGTGATGGCCTCTCTCCCTGGAATCATCTTCACCCGATCCCAGAAGGAAGGGCCTCGCTATACGTGCAGCTTGTATTTCCCACCGGACCAGTATCACCTCTGGAAGTATTTCCAGACGGTAAAGATCACCATCCTGACCCTGGTCCTGCCCCTGCTCATCATGATTGTCTGCTACTCGGGGATCCTGAAAACCCTGCTTCGGTGTCGCAATGAGAAGAGGAAGCACAAGGCCGTGAGGCTCATCTTCGCCATCATGATCATCTACTTCCTTTTCTGGGCCCCCTACATCATCGTCCTGAACTTGACCACCTTCCAGAGCTTCTTCGGCTTGGAAAACTGCATTAGCGCCAGCCGGCTGGACCGAGCCATGCAGGTGACGGAGACCCTCGGCATGACCCACTGCTGCATCAACCCCATCGTCTACGCCTTCATCGGGGAGAAGTTCAGAGGGTACATCTGCACGTTCTTTCGAAAGCACATCGCCAAACGCCTCTGCCAGCGCAGCCGGGTCTTCCAGCGGGATGTGTCCGAGCGCACGACCTCTGTGTATACCCGATCCACAGGCGAGCAGGAGATCTCAACGGGACTGTGAGCTGGGCACAGCGATGCCCTGCCCCCGTGGGTGGGAGAGGCACTTTCAGAGGGGAGGTTGGCTGCCACGGAGAACCTGTGAGTCACGTGTCCACGCGTCCATGAAGCGTCCGTGCTAAGAAGGTTGGGCACTCTAGGCCCGTCCCCTCTCGGAAGCCGAGCAAAAGGCATGTTGATGAACCGGTCCTCCTTCTCGGCCTCCCCTCCACCGGTGTGCCAAAGGGCTTCCAAAGGAATCCACCGGGAAATGGAGCAAGAAGACGCGGAGATTTCCCACAAACCGTGTTGAAGCCCCCTCGGACATCTAGTTATTGGCAAACGCTTCCTTCCATGCGAATGTTCTTTCTTCTAAAAAGAAGGCGCAGAAGACATCCTCAGGGAATTGTCTGTTCTGGAGTTTTCTTGCCGGAACAAGAACGATCAAATTAATCAAGAAATGTAGCGCGGCACCACTTGGCAGGCGGAAGCTGGGCTTGCTGAACCCCAGGTGTCTGGCCTGCCTTGGGGAGAGAGGCTAAGAATGGACACCTGCCGCTTGTGGTCACCCTGGGGCATGACAGGTGCGGCGTGTCTCCTGGACACCGCTTGAACGGAAGGACAGCACCGCGCAGTTTCTATGACCCATCGCAGCCCCACAGTCAGCGAGGAGATTAGTCAGCCAGTTAATACAAATGCCCTTGTATTTGAGAGCCGCCACAGCTGCAGGCAGGGAGCCTGGCGGGGGTGTGGTCACGCATTGGGCTGCTATCCGCACGGTGGGCCGTTTGAAACCACCAGTGGAAGAAAGATGGGGCTTCTACTCCCATGGATGGTGACGGTCTTGGAAACCCACCTGGGAGGGGGGGTGGGGGCTGTGAATCAGCACCGGCTAGATGGCGGTGAGTGAGTTTTGAGACGGATCCAGGCAGACGGTGTGAGCTTGCTCTGTCAACAGAGAAGCAACTTAAAGATCACAATAATAATACCCTGGGCACATCACTCCCCAACTTTGCTCAGGGAGAGCCAAGAAGGTGGAGTGCTGAGGGCCTGGCAGGACCCGTGGCAGGATAAAGAGCCGCCCAGTAGGGTGGGGATACAGGGGACCAGAAGGGGGCTGGGGGTGTCTGTGCAGCTCCTCAGATACAGAGTCTGCAGGACTTGGGATGCACGGAACAGCAGAGCCCGCCGGGGATTTCTACTCCCCTAAAGACGGTCTCGGAAATGCACAGGGGTAGTTAGTTCTTCTCCGTCCTCTAGGGGCACTGTGAGCTGGAATCGACTTGCTAAGGCCATGAGCTGAGTGGGGAACTGTGGGTGAGTTGATAGCTATATACTCATTCGCACAGCACGTTGTGAAGAAATGAATTATAGAGATAGGATTTGGTGTCCCTGAAGCCATTCACCCGCAGTATTTCTGTCACATCACGGCAATCACCGAGACACCCAGTTCATTCAACTCCAGAGCTTAACGAACATTGAGCACAACACCCCCACTCCCACCCCCCACCCGAGAGATGAAGGAAGGAAGTAGGGGCACCGGAGGTCCTGCCTGGGCCTGCCACACCACGCGGCCCCCGGGTGTCCACAGCATCTGCTTCGGAGGCCCAGGGGAGGCTGAGCACTAGCAGGCTCCCTGCAGCCCCTCTGTGTGTCAGGCACAGCGTGGGGCTGAAGAACGGCTCTCCTTTGCTTCAGAGGGAGAGCTCAGGGGGGTGGCTTTCTGCATACACAACCTGAACTTGGTTTTGACCTTCGGGAAGCCACAAGCACCCTAGTGAGAATGAGAGAGGGAAGCAAGCAGGAGAGGGATCAGTTAGGGCATGAAAGGGGTTGGCAAGAGAGAGGTGCTCTGAAATACGAAAGCAGTGCGCGCTGTGGCTGTCCCCCAGGCAGAGGGTGTGCGGTGGGGGCAGGGTGCTTTCTCTTTGTTCTAAAGGTTCCCAGGAGTCACAAGTCACCCTGAGGTCAACTCTTTAGACATCCAGGTGGCTTTTCTTCTAAGTGTAGGTCTACAGTTGCAAATTGCTTGAAGGCCTCTTATACTCTCCTTGCCACCAATTTTGGATCA